GCAACAATCTTCCTCATGCAAAAAGAGGAAGATTGGCAATGGATGTTAGCACACGGCCAATCCTCCTCACCAAAAAAAAAAAACACGCATAAGGATAGGCATCTACACCAATGGAATAGAGAGTCTAGAAATGATCCTAAACATCTATGGCCAATTGATTTTCAACAATGGTGTCAAGATCAGGCAATGGGAATGAACAGTTTATTCAAGAATTGGTACTTGGAAAATTAGATAACCAGACGCAGAACACTGAAGTTGAACTCCTACCTCACTTCATATACAAAAATTAAATCAAAATGGATCAAAAACTCAAATGTAAGAGCTAAAAGTAGAAAATCCACAGAAAAAAAGATAGGGGTAAACCCTCATGACCTCAGATTTGGCAACAGATTCTTAGATTTAACACCAAAGTGTAAGCAATAAAAGAAAAAATAGATAAATTGTACTTCATCAAAATTAAAAACTACTGTACATCAAAAAACATAGTCAAGAATGTGAAAATACAATCCACAGAATGGGAGAAAACATTTCCAAATCATTTATACAATATGAGTTTAATATCCAGAATACATAAAGAACTCTTACAATAATAATAATGGAAGAATAATAAATGGATATAATATTTAAATAATAATTTTTTGTGTGTGTGTGAGGAAGATTGGCCCTGGGCTAACATCCGCGCCCATCTTCCTCTATTTTTTGTGGGAAGCCTGCCACAGCGTGGCTTGGTAAGTGGTGCATCGGTTTACACCTGGGATCTGAACCTTCAAACCCCGGGCCACCAAAGCAGAGCACGCGAACTTAACCACTACGCCACCGGGTCAGCCCCATAAATAATTTTTAAATAATACATAAATAATAAAAATCCAACCCAATTTAAAAAATGGGCAAAGGATTTGATATTTCTTGAAAGATATACAAACGGCCAATAACCACAAGAAAAGATATTCAACATCACGGATCATCAGAGAAATGCAAATCAAAACTATAATGAGATACCACTTCATACCCAGTAGGATAGTTTTAATTAAGAAAACAGAAAATAACAAGTGTTGACAAGGATGATGAAAAATAGGAACATTGCTATTGGGACTGTACAATGGCACAGGTACTTTGGAAAACAGTTTGTCAGTTCCTCAAAACGTTAAACATAGAATTACCATATGACCTAGCAATTCCTCTCCTAGGTATATCTCCAAGGAAACGAAGACATCTGTCCAAGCAGAAAACTACACATGAATGCTAATAGTAGCATTAGTCATAACAGCCAAAAGTACAAACAGATCAAACGCCTATCAACAGATGAATGGATAAACAAATTGTGGTGTATACATACAAAGGAATAGTATTTCGCCATAAAAAGCAACAAACTACTGATACATACTACGACTTGGATGAACCTTGAAAACATTATGCTAAGTAAAAGAAGCCAGACACAAAAGGTCATGTATTGTATGATTCCTTTTATATAATATATCCAGAATAGGCAAATCCATAGAAAGCAGATTAGAGGTTACCAGAGGATGGAAGGAGGCAGGCAGCGGGGAGTGTCTACTTAATAAGTACAGGATGCTTTTACAGAGTGATGAAAAAGTTTTGAAATTAGAGAGACCTGGTGGTTGCATAACCTTATGAATATACTACCACTGAACTGTACATTTTAAAATGGTTAATTGCATGTTATGTGAATTTCACCTCCATTAAAAAAAGAATAGAATGCTTAGGAATAAATTTAATAAAGTAAGTGCAAGACTGTAGACTGAAAACTACAGGATATCATTGGAGGAAATTAAAGAAGACCTAAATAAATGGAAAGACATCCTGTGTTCATGGCCTAGAAAACTTAATATTTTTAAGATGGTAATGCTTCTCAAATAGATCTACAGATTCAAAGCAATCTATATCAAAGTCCCACTTGGCTTTTTTTGACAAGTTAATTGTAAAATTCATATGGAAATACAAGGGACTCAGAATAGTCAAAACAATCTTGAAAAGGAAGAACAGAGTTGGAAGACTCACACTTTCCATTTTCAATATTTACTACAAAGCTACAATAATCAAGATAGTGTGGTACTGTCATAAGGACAGACATAATAGACCTATGGAATAGAATTGAGAATCCAAAAATAAACTCATACACTTATGGTCAACTGATTTTTGATAAATTTGCCAAGACCAATCAATGGGGAAAGAATAGTCTTTTGTGACAAGTCTTTGTGACCTAAGATTAAGCAATACTTTCGTAGACACCAAAAGCACAACAACAAAAGAAAAAACAGATAAATTGGACTTAATCAAAATTAAAAACTTTCGCACTTTAAAAGAAACTATCAAAAAGTGAAAAAGACAACAGGGTCTAATATCCAAACAAAGAAGTCTTACGACTCAATAATAATAAGACAAAGAACTCAATTAAAAAATGGGCAAAGGATTTGAATTATTTCTTGAAAGAAGATACACAAAAGCCAATAACCACATGAAACAATGCTCAAGATCATTAGTCATTATAGAAATGCAAATCAAAACCACAATGAGATACCATTTCACACCCAATAGGATGGCTGTAATAAGAAAGATAGACAATAATATGTTGGTCAGGATGTAGAGAAATTGGAATTCTCATACATAGCTAGAGGGAATGTAAAATATGCAGCCGCTTTGGAAAATAGTTTGCCAATTCCTCAAACACAGAGTTACCTTATGACTGAGAAACTCTAGCATTATACCCAAGGGAAATAAAAACATGTTCACTCAAAAACATACGTGAAAGTTCATAGCAGCATCATTCATAATGGTCAAAAAGTGAAAAAAACCAAATGCCTATCAACTATTGAATGCATAAACGAAACGGAGTATATCCATACACTGGAATATTATTTGTAAATAAAAAGGAATGAAATACTGATATATGCTATAACACGAACCCTGAAAACATTATGCTAAGTGAAAGAAGCAGACACAAAAGGCAACATATTGTATGATTCCATTTACATGAAGTGTCCAGAATAGTCAAATCCACAGAGACAGCAAGTAGATTAGTTGTTGCCTTGGCCTGAGAGGGAGGAGAGAATGAGGAGTGACTGCCAGTGGGTACGGGGGATATTCTTTTTGGGGCGATGAAAATCTGCAATAGATAGTGGTGATGATTTTACCTCTGGAATATACTTAAAAACCACTGAACTGCACACTAAAAGCGTGAAATTTATAGTATGTGAATTACATCTCAATAGAAAACAAAGAGCAGATGAGGAATTTACTACAGAGAAACAAAGTACTTATATGAATTGGGGCTGGGGAGCCCGTATTTTAGTGTATAAACCATTCTTTAGTTTGTAAAAGGAATACTAACAAGTGTGTGAGGTTTAGCGGTAGATTAATTGGAAGATTCTAATTTAAACATTGTATATCATGACAAAATCTCCTCAGAATTTTAAACTTAACTCTTAGAGAAGATAACTTGACCCTGAAGTGAAGGATTTCTATCACTAAATTAGTCTATGGCTAAAACTATCGCTCAGATTTCGGCGTGGTGACATTTATATAACCAATCAATTCTATGGTGAAAACTTCAAGTCTAGATTGAGTTCTGTTGTTAGTTTACTGACTTGATGAACTAAATAGCTTCCTATTCCCATTGAGCAGGGCCTTAAGCCTCAGCCTCACCTGGGGTGTGGGAGGTTTGTTCCCCTCAATCCTCAGTTCTTGTTAATGCTGTCAGGAATCCAGACATCAACTTCTTACCGAGCTGCACAGACTGCTTCTAGACTCACACGGCACCAAGAGACAGGGCAATGCCTGGAAACACTGAGTCTACCCATGACGTCCAGCGAGAACACGCTGGAAGCAGCAAAGAAGTTACTTCACTAGAGGAAAACGGGACAGGGGCTGTGCTGTGTCTCCAGGCACACCAACTCAAACCATATATTCTGAGATCCGACAAACATTTCACCTCATCCTAAAGAACATTATTCTATAAAGTTGGCTTTAGCCAGTTTTACAGAAAAATAGAACAAACAACCCTAAATCTGTCTGCATGTCAAAATCAGAATTTCAGAAGACGTTATTTATTTTATAACACCTTCCTAGACTAATTGGATATTTTTGAATAGGTTATGGTTTTCTTATTTGTTTTGTTTTGTTTTGTTTTGTTTTGTTTGGCTTGTTGATTGTTTTTAATTCTTGAATTTTTTTTCACCGAATTCAAGAATTTGATGAGAAATTCTAATATTTCTCTATATTTAAAGGGAAAAAAAGATTAAAAAACAGCAAAATTCCAGAATCATTCAAAGTAAAAGGTTAAACATCTGCTCCATTCTAGAATGACACGTTCCTCACTCTACATTTCTTCTTTTACATTTTTTATTGAAAGAAAAGATTTCTCCTAGAAACTTGTTTTAAAAACACTAAGATTACAAAGTCACTATATCTAATTCATTTTAAAATTAAAAAACAGCGATTTGATAGAGCAAGTCTCTAAATATTTAATATTACTATAACGAAAAAAACCCAGGAAGAATCCCTACACTGGTGTTCAGCTGTGCTATTGGGCTGGTTTGGTGAAAGGGCCTGGCAAGTCCGGAGACGCACTGTTAATTCTCACCTCTTACATTTCTATATTACTACATTTAACTTCAATTTCCACATTTAATAATCTTATGGTTCAATTAATTAATTAAGTTATAAGATAAATTACGTCACTGGAAATAGCTAGTTTCAAACATCAGTCTACAGCATTGGTACTCATTTCGTTGGATTAAAAAAAATTTAGCAACTTTTTTTTAATTGCTGCCTAATACATCTTTACAAACACAATCCATTTTCATTATGGTGAAGAACATGCAGATTTCAGACATTTGGGTCACTTGGTGGTCAACAGAATATTGTCTAGTATTTTTATCATACACCTTGCATTGAAATGTGGATTGCATAAACAAAAATAAGAATGAGCATTGCCAGCCACACAGGAATGACTCCAAAGAACACTCAGCCAGTCCCCTCACCTTGGGGTGCTACCACAGTGCTTTCATTCCCCTGACACCAACCAACCGGCTGGACGTAAGGACTGTTTACACCACACCTGCAAAAACAGGATTCCATTTTAGATCCCATATTACTCAATGCCAGAGAAAGAACCCAAGAGTAATGACCATTCTGGATATTAAGAGACACCATGAAAAATATTACTTCATAGTTAAAATATAATTTTACAGCTAAAGAGAATTAGAAGTAATTTTTAGTCCTGTATTTTGTAAGCAGAGTGACCAAACTTATCTTTTACATACCTTCTTAAACTTTAAAAGTATAAAAAAAGTGTTTGAGCAAGACCTGAACTGCCAGTGATATCCCCAAAGAGTGAACATCTTAATAAACGTCGTCTACCACTTCTTGCTGGCAGCAAGGGACAACACTAACAGGCCAGTCCAAACTTTCACAGGACAGGCTGATCAGACTCCACAGGACTACGCATTTCCTCCCTCTCCTTTTCAAGGAACGCAGACTATTCTACCCAAGATACATACAACAATTAATCTATGCTCTGCTCCTTAGTTCAGAGAAGAAAACAGGGCCCCCTTCATGTACATGAAGAACCACGGCCAGAGGTAGGCACTTGCCAGTTATCCAGTACATACTGTGAAGAAACACTACAAAAATTATTTTTGCCATGCCCTCTTCATTATTTCAGGTTTTTACCCAGAAAACCTTTTTAACTCATGCAGTTAGTTTTTAAAATAATTAATTAATTTTTAAATTCTTTTATTGGGGTAATAGTGGTTTATAACATTATATAGGTCTCAGCTGTACAGTATTATAATGCGATATCTGTATATAAAAAACAAAACAAAAACAAACTCGTGGGGTGTTAGTGTAACAGCATTATAGTACACATTTTCTCTGCTCCCCACAGGCTTTCGAACAACTCACTCCCTTCTCCCTGAATCTTCCCTTTTAAAAGTATGACAGGCCAAGTTCAACGTTTTTCAGGCAAAGAAGTACTGCAAGTTCTTTACCTCCTCTTCACAGAGACGCCTCCCTTGGGAACTGGACCCGACCCCGTGAGGCGCCGGGCGGGTCAGCCGGGGCGAGCAGGCGGCGCGCGGCCCCCCGCGCAGGAGCCAGTGCCCGGGCTCCCCAATCCCGCCACGTGCGCAGACCGGGGCGAGCAGGCGGCGCGCCATGCCTGGTGCGTGCTGCTGGAGGAACAGCAAGAACAGCGGCAGCCCTGGAATGAAAAGAAATTCTTAACACCAGACGTGAACACATGAAAAGAAAACGCAGGTGGTGTCTCACCAGTAATCGCAGCTGTCATCCCGACTGTCAAAGTGCACCAGGAAGCGACCTTCAGCAACATCTTCCCTGGTCACCACACACCCCGAGGAAGGGCTCTTCCTGTCGACCAGCTTCCTTCCCACCCGAATCCCTTAGGCACGGCCGCTCTAACACAGCACCAGAGGGAAGAGGCACAAAAAGAAACAGGACGCCAACAGGACTGAGCCACTGTCAGAACTTGTATGGTGTTCAGTTTCAGAAAAGTCAGCAGGGTATCTACACTCACCCTCCGGAAGGAAGCCAACCACTGCCAGTAAAAATACTCCAACAAACTGAGGAAGTTCACACTCATAACAAAGACCCAGGAAACTAGCTTCTACCTTGGGCTTTTCTCTTCTGTTGTGCAGGTAGATTTATTTCTCTTGCCATCATCATTTTGCCTCTTCGGTTCTTTGAGTAATTTGTATTAATTTTAAAATACGATGTTTACTGAATATAGTAGTATCAAATAATTTTCTCTGCTTCTCATAGGCTTTTGAATAGTTTCCAAATACCAATATTTGGAAAAGTGGTTAAGATATGCTCTTTAGCACCAAAATTATCATTTACTTTGATCTGATCTGAAAATAGTGGCCTTTTCAATATTTAAGGAACACATGCACTAATCCATGAATAAAATTACAGTTGAAAAAAATCCAAATGCTTCTTTTAGTATCTGCACATGTTTTTTTAGTATTAAAAAATACTACAGGGGCCCGCCCGGTAGCACAAGCGGTTAAGTGCACAAGCTCCGCTGCAGCGGCCCGGGGTTCGCCAGTTCGGATCCCGGGCGCGCACCAACACACTGCTTGGCAAGCCATGCTGTGACGGCGTCCCATATAAAGTGGAGGAAGATGGGCACGGATGTTAGCCCAGGGCCAGTCTTGCTCAGCAAAAAAGAGGAGGATTGGCATTGGATGTTAGCTCAGGGCTGGTCTTCCTCACACACACAAAAAATACTACAGACTATGATTTACAGTAACATTATAATGACAAATCCTTGCTTTTGGTATAGCTATACTTAGCCAGCCCTGCGATTTAGAAAGTATACATACAATATCTTGGGGACTAGAAGAGGGTTTTTTCTCTACTTCTTACTATCTATACTGAACCCTGATTTTTGTTTCCCTTTAGCACATTACATATTTACAAGAAATTTCACATTTCTATAACTCTCTTTCCTTGATACAATTCTGTGGAGACACATGGAGCAGCTGTACAACATTCATTTCAAAAGCAGGACACTGAAGCCTTGCGAAGTTGGGTGAGTGGCCAACACAAGGACACAACTGATCCCTGACCCTAGGCTTCCCCGCCCCCTTCTCTGGTATGTGGCCTCACTGCTGGGCCCTGAAAGGAGCCCAGAAGAGGCAGGGATGCAACTTATTCTCATTCTCTCCTGAAGACGTTTAGGTTGCTGGGGACATAGCTGGCACAAGGAGTGTGCTCTATCCCAGTCCTCACACACTCCCGGCATCTGTAGGAAAGGTCACCCTCATTCTCATTCGACATTCCCAGCATCTGTAGGAAAGGTCACCCTCATTCTCATTCTGTGTAAACACAACTAGGCTGGGTACAGTTGAAGTCTGCCTCGGGTATCTACCGGTCTCAAAATGCCAAAACTAAGTTTAAATGACTAACTCATAGGAAGCAAAAAGAAAAAACATTTCTAAAAGGTATTTTAAATTTTAGCAGGCTTTAAATATAAAGTTTCAACTCTCTCTATCTAATTGAAATATTCAGTTGTACATTTAAAGAAAAAAAAGATACGCCCATAGGAAACTGACAAATTAAGTGAGAAAAGTCATAAGAAGCTAGGGATTCTTAAAAGACTAAAATACAACAGATTATACAGTGAATTTTAAGAAATTTAAGCTCAAGGAAAAATATGATTTATAGTGAGGAAGAAAATACTCATACAACTTCTGTTTCTGAATAATTTCTTGGGAGCATTTTGCAATCTGCAGGCCTTCAAGTAATCCATCCAAAAACATTTATCTTTTCTATAACCTAAAAAAAAGTACAGATTACTCAAAATACCCACAAGATGTAACCATGTTCATATTAAATACATTATTCTTATTCAGTCTTCTGCCATAAATTCAATGTCCTTTAGCAGACCACAAAAGATTTAAATTAAAATCTCTAAATTATTTCAATGTTTTTTAATGTATGAAATTCAAAACTGTTGAGTGTGATTTCCCATCATGCATGTCACTCACTCCCTAAAAATTTTTAAAATTCATTGAGATATGGAATTGATACCCTGGTGGCTTGATGGGAGTCTCGTCTCCCATTAATGCTTTCCAAAATGGGCAAAGAGAGGAGACAAAAGTTCCTGAGTCCATCATCACTCCTGAAGAAGCCGTATCACCAAGACCATCAGAGGTCCTGATGGTGCAACACTCCAGGGTGCCAGACACTTGGGGTAAATTACAGAAACCCCCACTATCCAAAGACCACTGGCACCTCCAGCTTTCTGCTCCATATTTTTACAGGTTTCCCGTTAAAAAATGCCTTATCTTCCCATCCATTTACCCCAAAGTGGCTCACGCAGAGCTGGCTCAAATAAGATGGACTCAATAAATATTTTCTGATTGCGTGTTAAACTTACAATGTAAGTCAAACTCCTTCACAGCCTTCAAGGCCATGGCTACATCTCTAACCTCATCTCCTAGCTTCTGGCCCTTGCTTCTCAGCTCCAGCCACCTTCCGCTCCTGTGAGTCCCCTCCAGCACCAAGCACACCCTGCCCCGGCGTTGACTCTTGCTTTCCCTCTGATGTGCACTCCTACCCAGGTGGCCACGTTTCACCCACGTATCTGACAGACGTCACGTTCTCAGGCTGTCTTCACCACGCTAAGTGAAAGAGCATCCCTGGAACTGTTCTCCGTCCTCCAGCCTGTCACTGCTTCACACTGTCTCTTCATCTTTACTCTTCTTCACCCCTCTCGAATGAAAGCCCCATGAAGACAGAGATGGTTCATTTTGTCCACTGCTCCATCCCTAGGGCCTGCGCATAGTTTGGGCTCCATAAATACCTACTTAATGAAAGAGCTGTCACCAGCTTCCCTGAAATCCTTCAATCTTACGGGGCTCTGCCATTAGTCTCAGGGGAGGATCCCAGAAGACACCCTGAGTTGATTAGTAAGAATAAAAGGATGAGAGGCCGGCCCCATGGCTTAGCGGTTAAGTGCGCACGCTCCGCTACTGGCGGCCTGGGTTCGGATCCCGGCGCGCACCGATGTATGGCTTCTCCGGCCATGCTGAGGCCACGTCCCACATACAGCAACTAGAAGGATGTGCAACTATGACATACAACTATCTACTGGGGCTTTGGGGAGAAAAAAAAAAAGGAGGAGGATTGGCAATAGATGTTAGCTCAGAGCCGGTCTTCCTCAGCAAAAAGAGGAGGATTAGCATGGATGTTAGCTCAGGGCTGATCTTCCTCACAAATAAATAAATAAATAAATAAAACTGTAAAAAAAAAAAAAAAGAATAAAAGGGTGATATACTACCTCCAGATGTTGCAACAGTCATCAAATAGTCTAACATCCAAGCTGGAGACCTTATACAGAGTCAGCTGTGCAAGGAAATGGGTCATCGGCATCTCAACTGACCAAATGCCCTCCTCACTAGCACACAGCAAATAAAAGTCAGTTCAGTCACATGTGCCAGTCCCAGGATCCTCCAGCACATAGCAAAAGGCAAAGATGAGATTTTTAATTCCCATCAAAACAAAATCGAAGGTGAAATTGTTTTCTCTTTCATAGTTCCCTCTTCTCCATGATTTGTTTGAAACAAATGATATACAGTGAATCAAGTTTTCTCACGGATTAAGTGAAATATCATTAAGGGAAATCTTTCATTCCAACAATGATTTAAACATTAGTTTCTTCATTCCTTATGAGGCTTAATAAACTTTACATAAAATAAAATGCTCTCATCCAATTTATTTCTGCCCCAGGTACCTTATCAGAATATTTGACCTAAACAGTCATTGATGCTTTTCTTTTAAAGATATTTATTTATTTCTAAGAAAGATATCCTGTAGTCTTACTGCTTTTCGTGGATGAAACTTTCATTTTGAAAATCAATTCACACCAGGCTCTCCTGTTAGGATTTCATGAAATGTGTTGAAATAGAACTAACTCTCTTTCCATCCTGACTTACCCTTAGGGATGTGCAATTCATGTGTGGTCTTTTCACACCACCCTATTGGATGAATGCCAGGGGAAGCAGCATTGGTCCAAAAATCGTAGCAGCTTAAATAACCATCAAAATGAAGTCTTAGACAGTAACCACACACCTGCAAAATGGAATGTTTGCAATCATTCATTGTGTCATGTATTTGAAGTGTACACAAAATTAACAAAATATTCATATATTCTGTCAGAGCCATCAACATACATAAACCAATCCTTCCATTCAAATGTGTTTGTATTAGAGAACAAATTTATAGATGACATCTGAATAAGACAAAGTGATGACAAAATACACAGTAACTTTCAGGTATCCAGAAGTTTTTTCGGCAAAAAAATTATCCTTTTACTCAGTCTAGAAATCTGAGGTCAATTTACATATCCATTAATCAATGAATTTATTTATTCATTCAATGCCTATCAAATATGCCTTTCAGAAACCCCATCTCCTACTGTCTGGCTTGGATTCATATCCCCAGACAGTGTAAACTAAAGCACAGAGCAAAACCAAAATGGGTACGACCTTATTTCAAGTCTAACATATGGATCTACATACTCAACAAAGGAAATAATAAAACAGTCTGAGAAATATGTCCTTTAGGCATGCTATACAAGTTTAACAATTATAATCAGTCAGTAAATTAAGTGAATAGTATTTTCTATGATTGATGTTATTAAAAATATAGAGGGCTTTTATCCATTTAATAATATAAAATGTTTAGTAAATATTACATTTTATAAGCCACTTACTTTCATCAGTGGCTCTTCACTCTAGATAATTTTCATAAAATGTATGTATTTATATAAACATAATTCATGTGCATGAATATTTTTCATATACGTTTCTCATTAGTTCAGCTAAAACTTCATTATGTCTCTTTTAACAGACAAAAGCAGCATTGTGGGATTCACTGATTGTTATCAACCTCAGGTGGAAACTTATTTATCAATTAAATCAAGAGTAACTACTAGTCATAAAGGACTTATTAGAAAATTAATCTTCAGAGAAGAAAAAAATTCATTAAGAAACGTATTTTACCCAACACTGACTAAAATAAACCCGTAATTTACTGAGAACTTGTTTATAACAGAAAGTACTCAAATTCATTCTTCTCTAGAAAATTCTCTTCTGTCACTGTGCAGTTAGCCCAAGACAATAACACCATCTCTTACCTCAGCTACAGAAAGCACACAAAATACAGATGGATGTCAGGGGTCAAAGCCTTCTAATTTCATTCCAACCTGAAAACCATTTTCATGCTTCGAAAGGACTGGTGCTATGCAATTTCATGATATAACAATAGCCACTGAAATAGCTTCACAATTTGATATTAGAACACATGGTGTGGATATGCTGACAACCAATGACTTACTGCACCGGTTTGGAAGCTTGGTAATATAGCTACAGATAGAAGGCTGCTCTTAAATATTTGGCCCTCAAAGATGGTTGGATCATTTTAATGTGCTTTGAAACAGTTCATGTGAGAAACTATATGTCCTGTGAACTCCCGATGTATTTCTTTGGCCACTTTTCCTTAATGATCTGAAGGAGCTCTTTCTGTCCTCTGGAAACAGTCTTGGTTTATTATGCTTACCTATTCCCAGTCTGTGACTTGGCTCTTCACTTTGTTTATAACTTTGCTGTAGAGAAATTTTTTATTTTAATTTAGTAAAATATACCAGTTATTTACTGTACAGTTTGCACATCTAGCCAATGAAATCCCTCACAACCCTAAAGTTACACAGATATTCTCCTCATGTTCTTTTAAAGTTTTTGTTCTTCATATTTAAACCTACAATGCAACTGTAATTGATTTTTTCTATGGTGTGAGGTAAGGGTCTATGTTTTCACATGGAGAACAAATAATTCAAAAAAAATTTTCTGGGGGGCCGGCCCAGTGGCGCAAGCAGTTAAGTGCGCGTGCTCCGCTGCAGCGGCCCAGGGTTCGCCGGTTCGGATCCTTGGCACGCACCGACGCACTGCTTGGCAAGCCATGCTGTGGCGGCGTCCCATGTAAAGTGGAGGAAGATGGGCACAGATGTTAGCCCAGGGCCAGTCTTCCTCCGCAAAAGAAGAGGAGGATTGGCAGTTGTTAGCACAGGGCTGATCTCCTCACAAAAAAAAAAAAAAATTTTTTTTTGAGTAGTCTCTATTTCCATTGATCTGCAAAGCTACCTCTGTTATACCACGTTTCTACATATTTGTGGGTCTAGTTCTGGCCTTTTTATTCTGTTCATTGGTACATTTGCCTATATGACATTGTCTTACTTGCTTAATAATGAGTCTTGCTATCTGGAGAACAATCGTTACCATATTGAGTTTTCTAATTCAGAAACTTGTTTCCCCGCCATTCAATCTAATCATTTTTGTTTGTCCAAAATGTTTGTTAAATTTTCACAGACTTCAAAAATGCTTTGTTATATTTATTTCTGTGTCCCTTTTAATGTTTATTGCTATTGTAAACAGATTTTTTTTTACAATAGACTTTCTAATTTGTTCCCATTATTTTCTTTAATACTGGTCTTGTTTCCCACAACCTTGCTGAATTATTATTAGTTTCAAGCAGACAGTTCCACGCATATTCAATATTACTACTCAATTTATTCTTAATTGCAAATAAACTTATAAATATACTAAGGGAAAATAATGATTACAATCTAGTTCTATTAGATCTAGAGCTGCTTTTTAATCACTAATTGTATTACTATGTATTACGGCTTAACATGTGAATGCCTATTTTTAGGGTGAAATTTATTCTTCTGAAAAAAATCTTTTCATTTGGAAATAATATCAAACTTAATACAAATACATGTACAGATCATTTTTTTTCTGAACCATTTGAGATCCCCTTACTTACCCCGAAATCCTAAATATTCTTCCCTAAGTGCAGTGTATTTTCCCTAAGAATAGGAACATTCTATTACATAACTATAGTTCAGTTATCAACTTTTGTAAATTTATACAACTCTGTTAACTAATCTTCCATTCATATTCCAATTTTTCCAACTTATCCAACCATGTACTTTATAACACTTTCCCCTTCCAGAACAGGATCCCGTCTAGGGTCAGATATTAAATTTAGTCAACATGTCTCTTTAGTCTCCCTTAATCTGGAACATTTTCCATAGCATTTCTTTGTCTTTCATAACATTGACATTTTCTAAGAACATAGTCTTTCCCTCCCTCCATTTTCTTAAATAGAAAGTTCCTGATTTTGGATTTGTCTTGTTTCCTCACAATTCAATTCAGGTTACACATTTTTTGCCAGAATACTACATGGGTGATGTTGTGTCCTTCTCAGGATATCCCTCCCCAAGGGCTCATTCTGCCTTTTTCCATCCATATTTGTATTTCTCCTCCAACAAGATCAACACATTTACTTATGTACTAAATCCTATAGTATATCTATTATAGTTTCAGAACTGGTTTACCCACACTACTATAGTTAACAAACCTACAAAAAGAGTTCAGGATTTGTTTGCAATTTTCCCTCCCGCCTCTGCCATCCATGAATGGGGTATATACTTAAAAACTATGTTCGTAAACTACTTGGATTCATTCCTTTTTTCTCTCTCTCTCCAGTGCAGTTATTGTATTCATCTGAAGTACAGCTGAGTTCATTTGTTTCTATCCTTACTATTTTTATTTTTTAATACATAGAATATTAACATGATTCCAAAAGTTAAAGCTATACTAAAGGTACTCAGAGAAGTGTCTCTTCCTCTTATATCCTAGCCCCCCATTCCACCTCTTGTAGGTAATCAACCTTACTGTTTTCTAGTTTATCCTTCCTAGGTGTCTTTCTGTAAAAATAAATAGTTATGTACATGATTTTTCTTATTTTTCCCTTCTTTCTTACACAAAGGCAACACACTGTACATGCTGTTTTGCACTTGGCTTTTTTCACTTCCTAATGTCTCCTGGAAACCGCTCCCTGTCAGGTCATAGTGATTGTCCACATTCTTTTTTACAGCTGTATTGTACTCCCCTGTGTGCAGGTACGATAGTTTATTCAACCTTCTATTATACTTGGGTGCATGCCTTTTTTACATGAACATGAAATTGTTTAAAAATCTTGATGTATTGGCTTGTAAAATCTTGTTAAAAACTTTCTTACATTCACAGATCATTTTAGAAGCTTCCAAGGAAAAGCTTAAAAGATGACAAAACTCAAAAATGAAATGGCAAGAATGAATGATTTCTCAGGAATATTTTATTTCTACAAAAATAAATGTCATGTGTGTGTTTCACTCTCCCAGCCTCTTTTCACATCCACTTTGTTTTCCAGCAGACTGTTTAACAAGTTTGTGTGACTGCCTCCTGTTCACTGCTTTGAGATTCCCCAGTTAACTTCAAAGGCACCACACATACATACAAAGGCACACACACACCACCGACAAGAAAGCAAAGGGGAAAGATAGACCAAGGGGGTAGTATATTAATAATGCTGAAAGGAAATTTAAGAAGCTGTAGAAATTGAGAGAACATTTTTCATGTTTCAACCAAACTGAAAGATACAAAATTGAGTATGGGGAGGAAACAGTATAATATGAAGCAGACTATACCCTCTTATCATACACGAATGATAAATTCAAGACACAGGCAATAATTCACAGCGGGAGTTAGGAAGATCAATGTTACTTTTGTCACTATTTCAAAATGGCTTCTCAGTTGAACATTTGGGAGCTTTATTTAATGTTGCAAGGAATGCTATATGGCTAAAACAGCCACAGCATTCTTTAGAGGGTGTCAGAGGAAAAACAAAACACTCATTTTAACAATCTGAAAGTCAATACTTAGTGAGGAATATCACTGCCTTTCATCAATCTCTTTTCTGTTTAATGGTTTATTCATAGCAGATTTAAGGGTTTTTTTCCTTTCTAAAAATCTTACATTTTATAAACATAATTAATAGCTGTTCTTATAAAATTATATTTTATGATAAAAATGGGAACAAGAATCACACTTAAATCAAACAATAAACCCATTAAATTCAGTCACAAAAAATCATAAGGTTTGTACACCTGAAAAAAACTTTTACAGATAAACAAACTCAACCTCAGAGAGGTAAAGAGACTCTCTCTCAAGGTCACACAACAGATTAGTAGCACAGTATAACTAGGGACCCGAGTCTCCCAAAAACCTGCCAACTGTTTGTTCCACATAAGGAGACAGAGGTGGCAACAAAAGAGGGAAGACAAAACCTGGCTCGAGGCCAAGGAAGGCCTCAAGGACCATTCCAAGGAAGCGCTAAGTGCTCTTGGGTACAGAAGTTGTTTCATTTTGTCACTTTCTTTTCCCAGAACAGTTGCAAAAGAATGCTTTCTAGTATGAAATTGACGAATTGTGTCACTAATGATGAAGAATTATTCCAAGTTCCATACCTCATAGCAAAAGCAGGTACAAAGTTTATACTATTGTTTAAAAATAAAATGAGTCAGAACAGTAGGAAAAACAACACAAACAAAAACAAAACACCATGCCTAGAGAAAAGCAGACAGGTTATTGGCAAAATTCCTTTATGAAATGCAATATGTCAGATTATCACGTGTGCCAGCAGATCTTTGCTCTGTAGATGGATGAAGTCACAAACGTGCACTGTGAACAGCTCTTGGACACTTAGTAGATACAAGTGAGAAATTCCAGACAACATTTTCCTCTGTTTATCACTGAGAACTCCATTATAAGAGCAGAGAGATTAAGTTTGTAATGACAATTTTGTGAGCCACTCTGCAGACACTCTGCAGATGGTCAGTGGCCCTCAGCACAGGAGCATCAGCTGGATGTGTGTGACAGAAGAGTGCTGCTACGCCAAGGGGAATACTCCATCCGAATGCCCACAGGCATTCTATTTTATTCACAGGCAAGAGCAGGCAGTCAACAATATTTTCCTGATCTTAATTCAATATTGAAAGAAATGGGGGAAATTGGGCATGAAAAGGAACCACAGCCACTAAGGCACAGATTTTTAGCATGCTATGCAAAGACTGGGCAAGGACCACAGGGCTCTGATTTCCAACCTTCACATGATGGCTGTCAAAGGGAAAGATGTTCATGGGAATTTTATACGCAGTTGATAAAATTTCTTATAACACCAAAGACCATTGTCATTGAGTTCAACAGCCTGCTTAACCGGTTTATCTCAGCAATATCTTCAAAATCTTAAATTATCTTCAATGTGTATCTCCAAGGCTGAAATGTCATAATTTTAAACGTGAAAGGTGAGATATCAGGAAGTCTTATGTAGGCAAATTGTGATATAAACAGCTTAGCCAC